TATGTGTAAATGTCAATTCAGATTCAACATAAAATCATGATTCGAGAAAATCACATGATATGACAACTTTGAAATTCAAACACGATGAGAAAAAGACATGACATGGCAAATTTGTGTTTCAGAACATGATGAAAAGATGATATGACATGAAAATAATTGCATGCAACATAACATGACAATTTTGAATTTAAAACGTGATGAGAAAATGCAATGGCATAACAATAATCACATGTGGCATGACATATGGTAAGAAAATAACGCAAAGATGGCATAACATGACAATATTCACATGTTGCATGACATGACAAATTCATGATTCAAATTTATGATTGGGTTCAATGCCGTCCTTCTATCAAGTAGACTAACGGAAATTGCCGATGTGGTGTCCACTATCGTTAACTGTTCGTTACATGTCCAAGGTAGCAATTGACGTCTCCGATCATTAAAAGGGCCCACAGGGTGAGCTGGCCCATAAGATATTCGTGTTAGCGGTCCATGTAAGCAAAAAAGCACGTGATTTGGCACTGCATCTCACGGAAGAATTGTATTATGCCGAATTTGAATTGTTCAGGGACTGAATTGATCAAAGAAAATTCAAAATGATAAATAAATATTGTGGAAAAGTTCAGAGACTACTCATGGCATTATCCAATTGAGATGGCAACGTGGACTATATTGGTCCAAAAGTCTCTTAATTGTATAATGCCATCAATAAAATTTAAGGACTATCGATGCCATGATCTTGTGGAGTATATCATCCAAGAGCGCGTGGTCATATGAATTTCTCATAACATATGGATCAATACAATCTCAACCATTAATAATGTTAGTTTCACCTTAAGGACCACATGATGTTGGGATGGGCTTGATCTAAATAATTCGTAAATCATTTTTTTTTAAGAGCGACAATGGCGTGGGGCATTCAGAACCGTGACGTCAAATCATAAGAATTTTGATGCCTTAAACAAGTTTTCATTTTCTCATCTTAACTATTTAAGTTGCACCTCATTTCTCAATTATGCCCTTGCCGTGCATAGAATGTGTACAATGTACATGGTCTGTTAATTGACCTTTTTGATATAGAAGAAATGGAAAACGAAATAAATCAGCATAACTCACTTAGGAGTGCTAGGCAAGGGTGTCAAGTCATGAGAATGAATAAACACGATGAACTACTTGAATTTGACTAAAACTTTGCCACATATATTTAATTGAACTTCAAATTTCTAGAAATCTCGCTGGAAGTGCTATATCGAGGACAAGCTCGAGTATCCCTTCGAGGTCATTTTCAACCTGAAAATCCTTCAATTTCATTGGCCCGGACTGCTTTTCTAGATTTAGCACATTTATCTTCGTACTTTAGATCTTTCTTTTTTATATTTCTTGCTGTTCAGGGGCCTAGGATTTTATGGCATAACTCGATTATATCGAACGGCAACAGCTGTTATCATCTCTATTCAAGATATAGTTGTTAGGAAAACCTCCTAATATATTTTGAAGTTGACAAAATTATCTATGTGTGTTTTGTAAGTCTGATAAATTGAAGTATTTTGATTTAGGAAATTATTCTTGGAAGAGAAGATGTGGCAATAATGTTCAGATTGTGAAATTACTTCAAGATGTTCAGACTTCATACTTCAGACGAAAATGTTTAGACTTTATACTCAAAGAGGTTTAAACTTTACACCAGAGATGAACTTCGGACACAAGTTCAAAACAGAAAGTCCAGAACATATGTCTAGAATGTAAAATTTAGAGAAAGTGACACGTATTCAGAACATACATAACGGTTAGTAATCTGGCTTGGATTTCACACTTAAAATAAATTGATTGACTCAATCTTGAAGATTGTTTTGCAACGGTTTAATATGCAAAACATCTTGATTGATTGGCAATTAATCTCAAGACAAGTCACTTTCCAAGCGAAGAAGCTCTACTTAGAGAAACCAAGATTTTGGTTATATGGACGACCAGATTCAGCGGAGATTTGGATTTTATCTCTCAACGGCTACGCAATCTTCTTGATACGTTATGTCCAACGAGTAGATTGGAAAACGATCCTCTGAAAACTGTCCTACGGTAGTTTGGAAGTGAAGGAGTATAAAAGGAGACCAACGTGCCGAGGAGCAGAAGTAAGAGAAAAGATCCAGAATTTAGAATTTCAAAGTCTGAGCGATCTTCAATCTTTACACTTGTCTTTCATGAGCTTAAACGTGTAATCAATTGAGAATTGTAGACAATATCATAAGTGTGTGCTTAGGTGTGAGCTAGTATGATCTATCGGCTTGGTATAAGCAGCATCAGCTTCGGGGAGAAATGCTTGGGTTTAAGCGGCACAACTTGCTGTAACTTCTCATTGATTTGATTAGTGGAATCCAGTCAGTAGGTTATCAGCGTGGGAGAGTGGACGTAGATTTGATCTAAGCTGAACCATTATAATTTCTTGTATGCAGTTTCTCTATCCCTAAACTCTTATTCTATCTTTTATACTGCACACTTACACATTATCTATAAAGTCTACTTAGGATCTGAATGTCTTTCAGACTTTAATCTTAATTATTTGTTTCCGCTTTAAAAATTAATCAAAAGTTTTAGATCACCTATTCACCCCTCTCTAAACGATCCTTGTTAGCTATATCAATAGTCAAGAGACTTTTTCACTGATATCAGGTTAAACAAACAGTTTGCCCCATGAGCTTAAACCGTTCATCACGCTACGAAGAACAAGAAAGAAACCTACCTGCGAAGCTTATTCAACAGATGGATAAGTTCAGCAGTGGCTTCGAAAAAGGTTCACGTGACAGCTCGTGCGAAATGCGGCCGCACTAAACCAGAGGACTTTTGCGTGCGTTCGCGTGTGAACGGTGCCACATGCGAATCTCTGTCCTCCTTGGACCAACTCGTGAACCAACGAAAAACAACAAGAGACTTTCACCTCCGGTTTCGAATTTCTCCGACATCTAGAGGCGACGGCGGTTTCTCCGTACATGTCTGACGTGGTGCCCTCGTTGGGAAGAAGGTTCCTTTTGACTTTACGGCGTCCGTGAACCACGAAAAGCCCACCGTAACCGGAAACCGTGCACGACGGTCGCCGGTCAAATGTCGGACCCACTCGGGGGGTCCCACGCCGTCGTTATCTTTACTGGTAACGCTGATTCATCTCGTCTCTGGTGTCTTTAGATATGTTAGGTTTAGTTTTACAAAGTCTTCGTTCTTCGGATGAAAATTAGGGGTGTGTTGAAAATCAAGAGGAAGCTTAGCCACAAAGCTAAGCTTCTCGACGCCAATCAATTTTGATGTTCGAACATGCGTATCGCTGTAGACGAATTTATTAAATATTGTGATATAGAATTGATTAGGTCTGAGCGAGCTCGGCGGGCCAAGCTTAATGGATGAATGTCATGCCGAGACCCGACTATTTGGCCTTCTATATAACCGGGATTGACTGGTCTTGGCTGAGCCCCGTTCAGACGCCAAGCCCGTGATCGCCTTTACCGCTCGTCCGAAGGGCTTTAATCCATATCGTAGTAATTTGAGGTCGTGACACTTATCCACAAGCGCACCAGCCCAGACATAGACCATGTGGATCGAGTGACATATCTAATATCACAAGGGAAACATGTAAACTTTTTGTACGGATACTAATTTGGTCATAAACTTTTTTATTTTATCAATTGAATCATAAACCTTTGCACAGGATTCCAATAAAGTCCTTCTAATCAATTTTTGTCGGAAATCACTGATGTGATGGTCCAATCATCGCCGAATGGACTTACAAGTTAGCGATTTACAACGAAAATTGGTCGGAAGGACTATATTGAAATTCTACGCAAAGGTTTAAGACTCAATTGGTAAAATTGGAAAGTCTTATGATTGAACTGGTATCATTACAATACGTTTATAATTGATTGGGTAATTTTCCCGACATCCAACAACCCTATATAGGCCCAACTCGAAGTTATCTAGCCACATCTTTTTGGGCCAGAAAACTAACCCGAACCAATTTATCATGTTTGGTTTGAGTTGGTTCCGGTTCAGCCGAAATTTTTTAAAATTTGGAGTAATTGGGCGATACCATAGTAAATAATGTGGACATTATACTCAAGAACGCAGAATAATTTAGTTTATATTTCAAATTTTCTCAAGTTATTTTGATGGCGAGAAAGTCGAATCCATATAGAATAACCAAAAATCTTTGAAATACTCCATTGACTTTATAGATCAGGTAAGACACGAGCGAAATCACATGGGAGATATATATATTATGAACAGTGACACAATCTGGTATTTGCACTTTCCAATTAAATGCATATCAATGTATATAATACCGTTGAACTAGTTGCTGGTGTTTTGGCTGTATCATCATTACATTTATTTACTGCAGAAGAATGCAAAATACAGGTGCCGATGTGGATGCATTATGCAAATGTAAGGATACTATGACAACAATGCAATACGTAACTCCCATGATCTTGTACCTACATGTGGTAGGGGTCGTTCTGAATATAATATTAGCTTTTGTTAAAAGTTCAGAGGCTCGAAGGGCACAAGCCGTCAAGCTGAATCATTCCAATTCTGATTTGTCGCCTAATAATATTCTACTAATGTGTAGATTGCGAACACTATGCTCACAAGTGTGTCAACAGCGCGTTTCATTTTTCCTTCCTTTTGTTCGCCTTTATTTTACTTTTCGATTTATATAGTTCAATTGTCAACCTTACGGGAAAAGTCAAAATACGCATTCTATCAAACCTCAATCCAAACTAGGGTAGCCGAGGAATTAGCTGGGTGACAAGTGTACCTTTTCTTCCTTCTCGTTCTTGTTCAAACTTTGCCAATTTGTCGTAGTTTGAATCTTCATTGCTATAAGCTAAAGGAGATAGCAAAGCGAGAATAATCTCGTGGCGAAAAGCGAAGTTGCATGGTGCATGCATGCACATTGGTGGCTACATCTCACTTCTATATAAAGGGGAACGATTCGAGGCATTCAAATCACCAAACTCAAGAGTTTTATCACAATCTCTCAAGACTCCTCATTGCTTCGGTGTGTCGAATGCCATTAGCAACACAAAAACCAACATGGGTTTTCATCAAAAGTTCATGATCCTTCTCTGCTTGCCTCTATTGCTATCTCAAACCATTTCTGCCTATTCCTCTAGCGATGTGAAATCTTGGTGTAGCAAAATGCCTTATCCACAGCCTTGTGAGTACTTCTTGACCCACCACCCCAAGCAGGCTCCCATCAAGCAAAAGTCCGATTTCCTCAAGGTCTCGATGCAACTCGCACTCGAGAGAGCTGAACTGGCCCATAGCAACACGCACTCGCTGGGGTCAAAGTGCAGCAACGAGCGCGAGAAGGCTGCTTGGGCCGACTGCCTCCAGCTGTATGGGAACACAATCCTTCGTCTGAACCGAACTATTGTCCACGAGTGCACCCAGGATGAGGCGCAGACGTGGCTCAGCACGGCCTTGACCAATCTCGAGACGTGCCGAACCGGGTTCGTTGAATTAGGCGTCCCAGACAATGTTCTGCCTTTGATGTCGAATAATGTTACCAAGTTGATAAGCAACACTTTGTCCCTCAACTATGCACCCTACACTACGCCAAACTACCCGACGAAATTTCCCACTTGGGTGAGGCCCGGCGACCGAAAGCTCTTGCAGTCTTCCTCCACGGCGTCTAAGGCCAATATCGTGGTCGCCCAGGACGGTTCAGGGAACTACAAGACGATTAGTGAAGCCATAACCGCGGCATCAAAGCGGTCTGGCACTGCGAGGTACATCATCTACATCAAGGCCGGTACGTATAAAGAGAACGTCGAAGTAGGATCGAAATTGGAGAACATTATGTTCATCGGTGATGGTATTGGGAAGACCATTATCACGGGAAGCAAAAGCGTCGGCGGAGGCTCTACCACTTTCAATTCGGCAACTGTTGGTAAGTTAATATCATCTAAGCTACTTACGATAATATTTACTATATTCTAAATAAATACCGAAAATTTAAAAAAAAAAAAAGGTTCTATATAGATATCAATTTATTAGGAAATATATCCGTTGAACTTATGCGGTTAGAGTATTTTTGTTATGCACTGTTTTGAGAAAAAAAAAATCACTTGAGTAGCCTAACCTAGCAGCAAAATTGATTATTTAACGAACTAAGCACGCTCCATCCACAAATTCTAATTGGCTAGTGGCCGGTCTATATATATTGTATTTCTAATAATCTTTCTCATTTCAAATTTCAGCTGTAGTTGGTGATGGATTCATCGCACAAGGTATCACTTTCCGCAACACTGCTGGTGCAGCAAATCACCAAGCTGTTGCCTTGCGCTCTGGCTCTGATCTCTCGGTGTTTTATAAATGTGGTTTTGAGGGTTATCAAGACACTCTCTATGTTCATTCGGAGCGCCAATTCTACAGAGAGTGTGACATCTATGGTACCGTCGACTTCATCTTTGGGAATGCGGCTGTTGTTTTCCAGAATTGCAATATCTACCCCCGAAACCCTCCCAACAAAACTAATACTATCACCGCACAAGGCCGAACCGACCCGAACCAGAACACCGGCATCTCTATCCACAATTGCAAAGTCACCGCAGCTTCGCACCTAAAATCGGTTCAAAGCTCCGTTAAGACATACCTCGGTAGGCCGTGGAAAGAATATTCCAGGACGGTTTTCATGAAGACTTATCTTGATAGCTTGGTTAACTCTGCTGGTTGGATGGAGTGGGATGGCAACTTTGCCCTCAACACTCTGTACTATGGAGAGTATCTGAACACAGGTCCGGGGTCATCGACTGCTAATAGGGTCACATGGAAAGGTTACCATGTCATCAAAAGCGCGACCGAGGCTTCTAAGTTCACCGTTGGGAGCTTCATTGCCAGCGGCTCTTGGTTGCCCGCCACCAGCGTGCCGTACACATCCGGCCTTTAAGCTTTTTAAACATAGGAAATCAGAAGTGGAATGCTGGTCCTACAAGAGTACAACGCGGCTCACAAGGAAAGCTTGCGTTCTGTCACAATGCAGCACATAGATAATAAGCAAAAATTCTTTCTTAAAGAGTTCCCATTCGTTATAGATATCCTCTGTAATAAAGTGATCAAGTTTTCATTCTTTCGTGATTATAATTTGTTGTTCTTTCAAGATTGTACTTTTACGGTGATTTTCATACGTTTTTTCTGCCTATATATCACATTTTCAGCATTGGCATATTGTGGTTTCCTCTCACGGCTTAAATCAAATATCATAGCTCAAACAACAGTTTATTTTTTTTTTTTTTTTTTTTTTTTTTAGTAACCGAGGTGTCCGGCAACCTTGCTGCGCGCACTCGACTATCCCGGGGAGACTAAGACAAGAGCGACCCACCGCCATGGCCCCCACTTAAACACAAGTTTCGCTCAATCGGGAATCTGAACCTAGGCCATGCGCTCTAACCACACAATCCCAAGACGCCCTAACTAACCGAGCTCACCCATGGGTGGGTTCAAACAACAGTTTATACCTACTGTTAATATCAAGAAAAGTATTAATAATCACCGGATGCTCCAATTTAATGGAATTAGTTCAAACCTCCATGAATCGATCGCCCAGACAAAGAAGCAAATTATTTAATGAATTAAGCATTTCCACGAAGCAAAGATACAAATCTAAGTCAATAGATTGAACAAAATAGCTGACCTATGTTTCGAGAGACTGAATAGTGAATACTTATTGTGATAACACCATTCAAAAAAAAAAAAAGCTTTCATTATTAGCTTACATAAAAGAGTCAGTAATAGCTATTTATTAGCATTGTGTCGTTGCATAGAAGCAGGCTAAACAACGCTCTAGGATGGCTTTTTCTCTCACACCCTCACTTGTGCACGAATTTTGATGTAAGTATACATATTTTTTTTTTTTTGGTAAAGGTAAGAGTTTGTATTACTTTTCTGAATCACCAAATACAAGGAAATGACAAGAGAAAACCCCGAATCCCGAATCTACATAAGTATACATATTTATGCTTGCATTTCCAATAACCAAGGTATCAAGCAAGCGATAAGTTGTTGCTGGGGGATATTGGTGATAAATTTAGATCCCGTATTTTGTTATGCCTTTGTTTTGAGAAAAAAAATCACTTGAGTAGCCTAACCTAGCAGCAAAATTGATTATTTAACAGAACTAAGCACGCTCCATCCACAAATTCTAATTGGCTAGTGGCCGGTCTATATATATTGTATTTCTAATAATCTTTCTCATTTCAAATTTCAGCTGTAGTTGGTGATGGATTCATCGCACAAGGTATCACTTTCCGCAACACTGCTGGTGCAGCAAATCACCAAGCTGTTGCCTTGCGCTCTGGCTCTGATCTCTCGGTGTTTTATAAATGTGGTTTTGAGGGTTATCAAGACACTCTCTATGTTCATTCGGAGCGCCAATTCTACAGAGAGTGTGACATCTATGGTACCGTCGACTTCATCTTTGGGAATGCGGCTGTTGTTTTCCAGAATTGCAATATCTACCCCCGAAACCCTCCCAACAAAACTAATACTATCACCGCACAAGGCCGAACCGACCCGAACCAGAACACCGGCATCTCTATCCACAATTGCAAAGTCACCGCAGCTTCAGACCTAAAATCGGTTCAAAGCTCCGTTAAGACATACCTCGGTAGGCCGTGGAAAGAATATTCCAGGACGGTTTTCATGAAGACTTATCTTGATAGCTTGGTTAACTCTGCTGGTTGGATGGAGTGGGATGGTAACTTTGCCCTCAACACTCTGTACTATGGAGAGTATCTGAACACAGGTCCGGGGTCATCGACTGCTAATAGGGTCACATGGAAAGGTTACCATGTCATCAAAAGCGCGACCGAGGCTTCTAAGTTCACCGTTGGGAGCTTCATTGCCGGCGGCTCTTGGTTGCCCGCCACCAGCGTGCCGTACACATCCGGCCTTTAAGCTTTTTTAAACATAGGAAATCAGAAGTGGAATGCTGGTCCTACAAGAGTACAACGCGGCTCACAAGGAAAGCTTGCGTTCTGTCACAATGCAGCACATAGATAATAAGCAAAAATTCTTTCTTAAAGAGTTCCCATTCGTTATAGATATCCTCTGTAATAAAGTGATCAAGTTTTCATTCTTTCGTGATTATAATTTGTTGTTCTTTCAAGATTGTACTTTTACGGTGATTTTCATACGTTTTTTCTGCCTATATATCACATTTTCAGCATTGGCATATTGTGGTTTCCTCTCACGGCTTAAATCAAATATCATAGCTCAAACAACAGTTTATACCTACTGTTAATATCAAGAAAAGTATTAATAATCACCGGATGCTCCAATTTAATGGAATTAGTTCAAACCTCCATGAATCGATCGCCCAGACAAAGAAGCAAATTATTTAATGAATTAAGCATTTCCACGAAGCAAAGATACAAATCTAAGTCAATAGATTGAACAAAATAGCTGACCTATGTTTCGAGAGACTGAATAGTGAATACTTATTGTGATAACACCATTCAAAAAAAAAAAAAAGCTTTCATTATTAGCTTACATAAAAGAGTCAGTAATAGCTATTTATTAGCATTGTGTCGTTGCATAGAAGCAGGCTAAACAACGCTCTAGGATGGCTTTTTCTCTCACACCCTCACTTGTGCACGAATTTTGATGTAAGTATACATATTTATGCTTGCATTTCCAATAACCAAGGTATCAAGCAAGCGATAAGTTGTTGCTGGGGGATATTGGTGATAAATTTAGATATAAGATAAACCCCAAGATCCATCACTTAATTCAATCTCATAATCAAATGCAACATCACCGGTCCAAAACCTAGATTACGAGCGTGTTACCCAACCACTCATAATATTTCTTTTCCATGGTTGCCACCAATTATCCAATATAAAATAGCTATTAGATCGAACAAGTCGTAACGACTGTTGTCATCTTTATTCGATATAAAATTTAAGAGTCTTTTTATCAATATCATGTTGAACAAACAGTTCATCCCAGAAGCTTAAACTGTTAATCTCATTACTTTATTTGCAACATACAGTTAACGTGCTTCGAAGATTGAATTTCCTTACGCCGATTCATCCACGAAGCTAATTCAACAGATAGATAATTCAACAATGGCTTCGAAAAGGTTAACCAGAGGGGACTTTTGTGTTCGTGTGTGAACGGTACTACGTGCGAATCTCTGTCCTTTTCGACCCACTCATGAACTAATGAAAACAACAAGAGACTTTGACTTTCGGTTTTGAATATCTCCAACATCTAGAGAAGACGGCGACGTGTCCTCGTACGTGTCTGACGTGGCACCCTTGTCGTAAAGAAGGTTCCTTTCGCTTGCGACGTGTGGGAACCAAAATCCATGCACGACTGTTACCGGCACCCTTGCAGTTCAAAGCATACGATCAATATAGAAATTTATCGAATTATTATAAAATCCATTAGGTCTGGACGAGCTTGGTGGGTCAGGCTTGCGAGGCGAAATCACTTGCCCAGACCATCTATTTGGCCTTTTAAGGGCGCGAATGATAATCATTCTATTTAAGAAATCAATTTCTGACCAGAAATCAATTTTTTTATTTCTATTCCATGAACAAGTTTCTTTGCCAAAATACCCGTTTGATAATGACACAAAATTCTTATCCCTAAAATAGAATTCGTTTGATAACGACACAAAATTTCTTCCTCCCCAGCGGCTGGCGGATGGTGGCCGGAGGCTGCCAACGGTGGCAGGAGGTGGCCGGTGTCAGGTGGCGACGGACGAGCATGGTCGGCGGCGGAGGACGGTGGCGGGAGGGCGGCAGCCGATGGTGGGAGGTGGCCGGCGTCGCACAACAGCGGAGGACTACAGACGGCAACCAGCGGCGGAGGACGGTGGCGGGAGGCAACCGGCGGCCGACAATGGGAGGTGGTCCGCGTCGCGCAACGGCAAAATACTATAGACAGCGGTCGACGGCGGAGGACGGTGGTGAGGATTGGCCCGACGAGCAACAGGCGATGGCCCGAGATGAAGCGACCGGCAATGGCGAGGCTGATTTCGGTAGCGGTGGCCGAGCGGTAGAACGGTGCGTCGAAGGACGAAAGGAGCGGACTCAGCGAAGAGAAACGGCAAGGTGGCCGGCGGGTGGTGGTGAACTAGCGGTGGACGGCACCTCGCCAATGGTGGGAGACGAACGGCGTCAGGCAGTGGTCGAGGACGGCAGATGGCAGGGAGCGGTGGATGGCCGCCGGTGGGTGGTGGTGGACGGCGTTGGGAGGCGGTGGGACGCAGCCGACGGCAGAGGACGGCGACGAGCGGCAACGGACGACGGTGGTGGGAGGCGGCCAGTGGCAGAGGGAGGTGACCGGCGGCGACGGTGGGCGGTGGGTGAGCAATCGGCTAGTAGCAAGGGCATGCAATGAGAAGGGTTTATTTATTATTTTTGTTCCAGAAATAGAATAGTAGATTTTTTTTACTTCTGATTTATGTTCCAAACCTATTTATAGAGTAAAAATTTATTTCAAAAATAGAAAAATGAAATTGCGTTATCAAACAGATTTATGTTCAAACGCATTCTTGAAAGCAGAAAAATAAAAAAATAGAAAGCAGAAAGGTTATCGTTCGCGCTAAATAACCGTAATTGACTTGTGTTGGGTGAGCCCCGATCGGCCGCTAGGCCCATGATGACCTTTACCCCCATGCCGGAATGGCGTCAATAAATATCGTGCTAGTTTCATGTCGCGAGACTAATCTACGAGCACGATAACCCAGACAAGGACGATTTGCAATGAGAGATATATCTGATGTGCAGCAACCCAAATATAGGCCCCACCCGAAGTTTTCTAGCCACGTCTTTTTGGGCCAGAAAACTAACCCGGACCAAATTATACGGTGTGATTTGAGTTGGTTCCGGCTTGGCTGAAATTTATTAAAATTTGGAGTAATTGGGTGATACCGTATTAAATGGTGCGGACATACCTAAAGTTACTCAAGAACAGAGAATAATACGGTGTATATCTTAATTTTCGTTTATGTTATTTGGATGACGAGAAAATCCAATTCATATAGGTCAACCGGAAATCTTTGAAATACACTAACTGTTTTTTTTATATCAAGTCAGAGCGACTAAAATTCCGTATTTGATATTTCCTTAATTTTCGTACTCTTCGGAGCTATATGTCATGAACAGTTACACACTATAATGTTTGCACTTTCCAAGTAAATGCGGATATACACATTATACTTGCTGGTGTTTTGGCTGTATTATCATTACATTCATCAACTGCAGAAAAATACAAAAAAATGTATGACAATAATACAAATATGTAACCCCATTATCTTGTACTCATGTGCGGTAGGGCTCGTTCTCAATATAAAAACTAGCTTTTGGTCCCCTGGGAAGATAAAGGACAAGGAAATTCCACAAATAGCAAGGACTCCGATGGATGACACTCTTTCAAAGACTTGTTAAAAATTTAGAGAGAGGCTCAAAAGGCAGGAGCCGTCGAGCTGAATCGTTCCAATTACAAATTGGTCACGAGTCATCAAAAACTGCTAACGACACACTTTTCTGGGTTCGCTCCTCGACGTGGAGATCGAATAGTTGTCACCTAATAATATTCCACTAAGAGGCATGGATTGCGAACAATTTGCTCACGCGTTGTGATGATTTTTACTTTTTGATTTGTATAGCGCAGGTGTCAACCCCACAAGAAAAGTCAAAGATACACATTCTTTCAAACCCTAACCCAAACTAAGGGTAGCCGAGAGATTTGATGGTTGACCAGTGTATCTTTGTCTTTTTTTCTCGTTCTCGTTCAAAATTGACCAATTTGTTGTTTTTTGAATGTTGATTGGTATAAGAGCGAAAGGAGAGCCCAAAGCGAGAATAATCTCGTGGCGAAAAGCGAAGTTGCATGGTGCATGCAAGCACATTGGTGGGCTACATCTGTCGTCTATATAAAGGAGCACGATTGAAGGCATTCAATCACCAAACTCAGAGTTTTATCACAATCTCCAAACACCTCATTGCTTCGGTGCGTCGAATACCATCAGCAACAAAAAAAACCAAAATGGCTTTTCATCAAAAGTTCATGATCCTTCTCTTCTTGCCTCTATTGCTCTCTCAAACCATTTCTGGCTATTCCTCTAGCGATGTAAAATCTTGGTGCGGCAAAATGCCTTATCCACAACCTTGTGAGTACTTCTTGACCCACGACCCCAAGCAAGCTCCCATCAAGCAAAAATCCGATTTCCTCAAGGTCTCGATGCAATTGGCTCTCGACAGAGCTCAACTAGCCCACGACCACACGCATTCATTGGGGTCAAAGTGCAGTAACGAGCGTGAGAAGGCTGCTTGGGCCGACTGCCTCCAGCTGTATGAGCACACTGTTCTTCGTTTGAATAGAACCATCGTCCACGAGTGCACCCAGGATGAGGCACAAACGTGGCTCAGCACGGCCTTGACCAATCTCGAGACATGCCGAGCTGGGTTTGTTGAACTAGGCATCTCTAACAATGTATTGCCTTTGATGTCAAATAATGTTTCCCTGTTGATAAGCAACACTTTGGCCCTCAACTATGCACCCTACACTATGCCCAACTACACGAAGAAATTTCCCACTTGGGTGAGGCCCGGCGACCGAAAGCTCTTGCAATCTTCGTCCGCAGTGTCTAAGGCCAATATTGTGGTGGCTCAAGACGGTTCAGGGGACTACAAGACGATCAGTGAAGCCATAAATGTGGCATCAAAGCGGTCTGGCACTGCAAGGTACACAATCTATATAAAGACCGGTACTTATAATGAGAACGTTGAAGTCGGATCAAAATTGGAGAACATTATGTTCGTCGGTGATGGCATTGGGAAGACCATAGTCACTGGAAGCAAAAGCGTTGGTGGAGGCTCTACCACCTTCAATTCGGCGACTGTCGGTAAGTCAATATCATTTGAACTACTTATGATTATTCACAATGAACACCGAAACTAAAAAGAGTTCTCTACATATAAACTTATTAGGAAACATATCCGATGGACTTAAGCTCTTTAGAGTATCTTGTTGTGCGCTGTTTTGATAGAAGAACACTTGAATAGCCTAATATAAAAACAAGATTGATTATTTAACGAACTAAAGACCTCTTAATTCGAAATTTAGCCAAGTACGTATGAGCTAGTTAAGCCTGCATGTGTCAATTTTCATGAGAATAAGATAGTTGGAACAGTGCAAAGAAAATTACAAAATAAGAGGGTATGGTTACATATAAAATACATATTGCGGACGAATTAGGATTTTGACAGCTGTGCAAAACTAAGCCTATGATTCAATCATACTTTTTGACATTAATCAGGTCAAACATTGGCTATGAATATACATAGTTTCGCATGTCTTCACGAAATAGACAACATCCACGACCTTCTATCATGTCTATAATATGCAAGACCACACTCCATCCACAAATTCTAATTGGCTTGTGGCCCGTCTATATAGATTGTATTTCTAATAATCTTTCTCATCTCGAATTTCAGCCGTCGTTGGTGATGGATTCATCGCACAAGATATCACTTTCCGCAACACCGCTGGTGCAGCAAATCACCAAGCTGTAGCTTTGCGCTCTGGCTCTGATCTCTCGGTGTTCTATAGATGTGGCTTTGAGGGTTACCAAGACACTCTCTATGTTCATTCAGAGCGTCAATTCTACAGAGAGTGTGACATCTATGGCACTGTCGACTTCATCTTTGGGAATGCAGCTGTTGTTTTCCAGAACTGCAACATATATGCCAGAAACCCTCCTAACAAGGTCAACACAGTGACTGCACAGGGCCGAACCGACCCGAACCAGAACACCGGCATCTCCATCCACAATTGCAAGGTCACTGCAGCTTCAGACCTAAAGTCGGTTCAAAGCTCCGTGAAGACATACCTTGGTAGGCCATGGCAAGAATATTCCAGGACAATTTTCATGATGACTTATCTTGATAGCTTGATTAACTCGGCCGGTTGGATGGAGTGGGATGGCGACTTTGCCCTCGACACTCTGTACTATGGAGAGTATATGAACACCGGCCCCGGGTCATCAACTGCTAATAGGGTCACATGGGTGGGTTACCATGTCATCACAAGCGCGACCGAGGCTTCTAAGTTCACTGTTGGGAGCTTCATTGCCGGCGGCTCTTGGTTGCCTTCCACCGGCGTGCCGTACACAACCGGCCTTTAAGCTCTTTAAAGATGGAAAAATCAGGGGTGGAATGCAAGCCTTACAAGAGTACAAGGCGGTCCACAAGGAACACCAGTGTTATATCATATGCAGCAGCAAAAAATTCTTTCTTATATATGTCCCATTCGTTAATTAAAGATTTCTGATGTCATCAAGTGATCAAGTTGTCATTCTTTTATGATTATAATTTGTTATTCTTTCGAGATTGTACTTTTATGGTGATTTTCACCCGTTTTTTTCTGACTACATGTTTCTCATTTTCAGTATTGGCATATTGGGGTTTCTTCTCCTTGGCTTAAATCCAATATAGTTGCGCAAACAACAGTTTATTCATGATCATGAAGTTAAAAGATAGTGTACTCTAATTCGATAGACCAACTGTTAATATCAAGAATAGTTTTGATAATTATCAGATGCCTCGATTGAACGAGTTTTGGTCAAACCACCACGAATCGATGACTCCGACAATGAAGGATAATATTCGACGATTTAAAGAAATCTAAGTCAATAGATTGAACAATCTAATCGACCTGCGTTTTGAGAGACTGAATAGTGAATAATTATTGTGATAACACCATTTAAAAACAGAAAAAGCTTTCATTATTATATCAACTTTGGAGGCAATTTTGTTCTTAGACATTTACATATAGACACGGAGAGAAAAATTCAAGGAAATGTAACAATAATTGCCTAAGCCCCAATTATATGACTCATTAAATAATTTAAGTATCAAGAACTATGGCTTGAAATTGCTTTGGGTCGACCCAAGTGCTTGAGCCAACGACCAAGGAGTTGCTTAGCTATTGAACACACTCGATGTTTCCGAGACGGTCTTTCTTGGCCCCAAAACTCGCTCGGACTTAGCTTGGTTCAGGCTTAGCTGAAAAATTTAAAATTTGGAGTTGCTTGATACCATATTGGACAATGTCGGACGTGGATGTAGTCCCTTTTTGTGATTATACTCTAATCGTGGGTGCAAAACGTGCTAAAAGAAAATCTTGAATCAATGGGTCTGTGGGGTTCGTGCCGAACCGACTTGTGGAGTTTACCCTACATCAATGTAGACACACGATGAACTCATTATGAACATAATTTTACAGATTCCCAACTACCAAAGATATCAAGCAAGAGATCAGTTGTTGAGGATGTTGGGGATGAATAGATATGAGATAGAGTTCTATATTTCCCCCCGGTTCCATCAATTAATTGAAACCCCTAATCAAATGTGATGCCTGCGTCCAAAACCCGGACTCTGAGCATGTTACCCAATCACTAATTATTTCTCTTATTGTTCAGGGTTGCCTAGGATTTTCCGGCATAAAATAGATATCATCTTGTGATAATTATCGTCATCTCCTGCAACCACGATACAATTGAGAGACATTTTTACTGATATCATGTTAAACAAGCAATTTATCTCAAAAACTTAACTCTATTGTATTGCTCAAATACGAAATGAATACATTATTTAACCAAGAAGTTTATTCCACAAATAGTTCAACGATAGCTTCGAAAGGGTTCCCCGAAACGGGCACATGCGAGATTCGCATGCACAGACCATCATCACTTTGTCTGCGAATCTCTGTCCTTTTGACCAACTCATGAACTAATGAAACAACAACAAGAGACTTTGACTTCCGGTTTTGACTTTCTCCCACCACATCTACGGGCGATGGCGACGGTTTCTCGTAGATGTTTGACGTGGCACCTTTGACCAAAAGGAAGTTCCTGTTGTTTACGACATCTGCAAATCAAGATGATCCCATGAAACCAAAAATCCATGCACAAAGATCGCCAGTATGCGATTAATGTAAACAAATCTATTGAATTTAAAAAATAATTAATTAATTAGGCCCGGGCAAGCTCGGCAGGCCAGGCTTAAGAGGAGAATTGCTTGCCAAGACCCATCCATCTGGCCTTGTAAATAATTGGGATTGACTAGTCCTGGGTGGGTTCCCATAGGCCGCCAGGCCCATGATCACGTTTACCCCGTGTCCCAATGGCTTTACTACATATGATGCTAATTTGAGATGGTGAGGCTTATCAAAAGTGCAACAGCTTAGACATGGACGATGTGAAATGAGAGACATATCCAATGTCTAACAGCTCAATATAAGGCCCACCCAAAGTTTTCTAGCCAAAAAAACTAATTTGGTTTGATTTGAATTGGCTCCGGCTTGGCCCAAATTTTTTTAAAATTTGGAATAATTGAATGATACCAAATTAATAGTACAGACATACCTAAAATTACTCAAGAACGGTGAATAATATAGTCTATATATCTTAATTATTTTATGATATTTGAATGGTGAGAAAGTCCAATTTAGCTAAGTCATTGGCGAATTAGGTGAGACGTGAGTAAAATTTTCATATCCGGTATACCTTTGGTTTTCGTACTCCTCATAGATTTATATTATGAATAGTTACGCACTATAACATTTGGACTTTCCAAGTAAATGCATATCGGATATGCATATACACCTGTATTACTTGCTAGTGTTTTGGCTGTATCATCATTACATTTATCAACCGCAGCAAATTGCAAACTACATGTGCCGATTGTGGATGCATTATGCAAATGGAAGGATACTATAACAATTATGCAATTATGCAACTCCCATTATCTTGTACTCTAAAGTTTGCTTTTGGTCCCCTTGGAGGAAAAGGCAAAAAAAAAATTCCAGAAATAGTAAGGACTCCTGTCATGGCGGGCAGTCTTTTAAAGACTTGTTGAAAGTTAGATGCTCAAGAGGCACCAGCCTTTGAGCTGGATCGTTCCAATTCCAATGGGTCGTGGGTCATTTAAACCGGCTAAGACACACTCTTGCGTTCGTCCCTTAGCGTTGAGATCGAGGAGTTGGTCACCTAATCATATTCCACTAGGGCATGGATTGCGAACAATTTGCTTACAAGTATCGACCCCACAAGAAAAGTCAAAATACACATTCTTTCAAACCCTAACCCAAACAATGGTAGCCGAGAGATTTGCTGGATAACATGCGTTACCTTTCTTTTCTTCTCATTCTCGTTAAAAATTGACCAATTTGTCCTATTTTGAGTCTTCCTTGGTATAAGCTAACGGGAAGCCCCAAACCGGGAAAATCACGTGGCAAAGAGCGAAGTTGCATGGCGCATGCATGCACATTATGGCTACATCGTCTCTTCCGATCCACTCCTACATAAAGGGGAATGATTCAAGGCATTCAATAACCAAACTCAAGAGTTTTATCACAATCTCAAGACTCCTCGTTGCTTCGGTGTGTCGAATACCATTAGCAACACAAAACCAGTATGGGTTTTCATCGAAAGTTCATGATCCTTCTCTTCTTGCCTCCATTGCTATCTCCAACCATTTCTGGCTATTCCTCCAGCGATGTGAAACCCTGGAGTAGCAAAATTCCTTATCCACAACCTTGTGAGTACTTCTTGACCCAAGACTCCATGCAAGCTCCCATCAAGCAAAAATCCGATTTCCTCAAGGTCTCGATGTAACTCGCACTTGAGAGAGCTCAGCTGGCCCATAGCAACGCCTACTCGTTGGGGCCGAAGTGCAACAACGAGCGCAAGAAGGTTGCTTGGGCCGACTGCCTCCAGCTGTACGAGCACACTATTCTTCGTCTGAACAAAAGTATTGTCCACAATTGCACCCGGGATGAGGTGCAAACGTGGCTTAGCACGGCCTTGACAAATCTCGAGACATGTCAAGTTTGGTTCGTCAAATTAGGGGTCTCCAACAATGTACTACCTTTGATGTCAAACAATGTTTCCAAGTTGATAAGCAACACTTTGGCCCTAAACTATGCACCCTACACTACATGTAACTACACGAAGAAATTTCCCACCTGGGTGAGGCCTGGTGACAGAAAGCTCTTGCAGTCTTCGTCCGCAGTGTCTAAGGACAATATCATCGTGTCCCAAGATGGTTCGGGGAACTACAAGAAGATTAGTGAAGACATAACCGCGGCATCAAAGAATTCGGGCACTGCTAGGTACATCATCTATATCAAGGCTGGTACTTGTAATGAAAAAGTTGAAGTTGGATCGAAGTTGGAGAACATTATGTTTGTCGGTGATGGTATCGGGAAGACCATAATTACCGGAAGCAAAAGCGTTGGCAGAGGCTCTACTGCCTTCAATTCAGCGACTGTTGGTAAGTTAGTATCATCTAAGCTACTTCTGATCCTCTTTATTTTATTGTGAATAAATACTGAAATTAAGAAAAAAAGGGTTATGTATATATCAGCTTATTTGGAAGTATATCCGATTAACTTAAGCTTTTTAGAGTATTTTGCTGTGCACTGTTTTGATAAAAGAAAAAGACCTTGACTAGCCTAACCTAGATTTTGACAGCCGTACAAAACAAGCCTATAATTCAATCATGGTTTTTGACTTTAACCAGGTCAAGCATTGACTATGATCACGAAGGAGACGTACATTAGTTTCGCATGTCTTCAAGAAATAGACAACATCAAGGATTTTGCATCATATCTGTAGTATCCGAGACCACACTTCATCTACAAATTATAATCGGCTGGTGGCTGGTCTATATAGATTGGATTTCTAATAATCTTTCTTATCTCGAATTTCAGCTGTCCTTGGTGATGGATTCATCGCACAAGATATCACTTTCCGCAACACTACTAGTGCAGCAAATCACCAAGCCGTTGCTTTGCACTCTAGCTCTGATCTCTCGGTGTTTTATAGATGTAGCTTTGAGGGTTATCAATGTGAAAAGCTTGAGAAATGGAAGAAAGGAGAAAGGAAATCTATAGTTGAAGAATTTGAACTTCTATTCATCAGTTTATGCAGAGAATCTTCAGACAGAACTTCATCTGAGAGCTTGACCTCTCTCTTGTGTATCTTACTGTTTATAAAGTACATACAGCTAAAATAATGCTCGAGTTTACAGCTCATATACCAGAAAATATAACTGAATAACTAAACTAACAGAAGAAACAAATCTGTACAACTGAACTAACAGAATGTCAACTACTCTGTTTTTCCTTAGCTCTAAGAACAGAAATCAGTTACGCAGAACATTATTGATGCGTATAGAAGACTTGAGCTTTCTTCAGCTTTCCACTTCTTCTTTCTTTCCTGTAGTCTCAACAATCAAGACACTCTTTATGTTCATTCGGAGCACCAATTCTACAGAGAGTGTGACATCTATGGCACCGTCAACTTCATCTTTGGGAATGCGGCT